CAAATAATGGTTCTGTGCATCATTTGGAGTTTTTTTATTAAAAGGTTAAATAACATATCAACAATAACATAAAACAAAGGAAAATTATTTATAACAAATGTTCGAAAATTCAATATCGGCAAAAATTCAATATGTGCTGCCAGTGAAATCGCCAGTTTGTCTGCCCGTGAAAAACGTATTTATGTGCGTTATCAACCAGAATTCGTGTTTTTTGTGGATATGTGATCATTGTCTTGACATGAAGCCCTTTAATGTTGAATAGCCCTGAGGAAGACTAAATATATAGTCGAAACGTAGGCCTTTTCAAGAAAATAAAGAGTTTCTGTTCACCGTCCCAAACCCGCTAAACTTGACACCAGTTTTCATAAACCAGGGACCCTAACGATGAGTAAAACTCGAAATGTTTGTCTGACTTTTGAATGGTAAGAAAAGCCGGGAAAATCAGCCGCAAATTCAATCACCCTGTGCGGTGCCGCCAAGACATGCGTTTGTGCCTGGATCAATAGGCGCGCAAAAACTCAGCTGTTTTTGCAGCAGAGATAACTTAATTTCGAATCGGTGTTAATTGGAGTTTTGCGGAGAATGCGAAAAAATCGACCCCATTTTTCCAGTTTGGTCAGCGAGCGAGACGACAAGAATCTGGATTAGCGACGATCCAGATAAGCGCACTGTTGTGATTTTCGCCTGGTGGACGTTATCGAACATGTGTGGGAGTAGGAATCACGTAGTGTGTGAAGGTGTTGTTGGGAAGCTGGGAAAAAGGCGTTTCGAAGCACTGTGAGGCGTTGCTGGGCTCGTGATGCTAAACTTTCGTGTTTATCGGGCGAAAGATCCAGGCAAATTAGGTAATCGTTTAAATCAGAAAGAATATGTATCCACAACAAAGTTATTAAAAAGCAGTAAAGTGGAGCAAAATTTCCTGGTTAGGCCAATCGCTAATTTATTGGCGTGGCGTTTATTTTCCTACGGAACGAGCGCGGTTTATTTCAGGACTGGATTCCGATGTCTAAATATTTATTCCATGGACATTTCCCCCATTCACTAATTAACTAGCCCAGTGCTACCAGAGTGCAATAGAAAAACAGGCGAATTTATCGCAGTTTTCCCATCTAGGAACGTCTGCATAGTCCGTGTGAGCAGCTGCCCTCTCTGAGCAATAAATAATGGACTATATTCGCGAATTCGACATCCAGCTGGATAAAGAGCAGTACTATGCAGGGGAAACCGTGTGCGGAAAAGTCATCCTGGACACAATTGAGAACTTCCAAATGAAAAGTGAGTATATCTGCACGAGAAAAACGAAAAATCCCCCAAATTCAACGAACTAACTAACTCAAAGGCATTTGATCCGGAGGTATCAGGGTGGCCCTGCGTGGAAAAGCCCACACCGAATGGAAAGTGATGCTTTCCGGCGACAGACGCACGGTAAGTCTGAGTGGTTAAAAACATGGTGCAAACAGTCTCGGCCCAGTTGGCGCCACGGCAAACCGCACGTAAACAAACGCGTCGCCTGGACAACCCGGCTTGGGACCGCACTGTTTGCATCAACGACCGGTTTTCAATCGAAATTGGACGCATCTCAACGCAGGTGAAAGAGGACCAGTACTTCATCGATCAACGACAAACGATCTGGGGCGAAAAACACGCGATCGGCAAAAAGTCGATTATCCCCAGAGGGGTGCACAAATTCCCATTCAGGTAAACAGCACTCGAGCACAATGCAATTCGGCCAATCATCGCGGTTTGATTGCAGCTTCGATCTTCCCGAATCCGCCTTACCCTGTTCGTTCGAGAGCCGCGTGGGGCAAATCCGCTACTTTTTCAAAGTGATCATCGACATACCGTACGCCAGTCCGCCACAAGGGATGAAATACTTCACGATCATTGGGCCGCATATCGATTGCATGGACGAACACTATTTGGTAAGCGAGCCGAACAGTTAGAGGACTTACCGATTTCATCCCGGATCTGCCGTAGAAACCCATTGTGTTGGAGAAGCGCCGCTCCACATGCTGCTGGTGCTGCAAGCGCGGCACCGTCTCATTGAAGTCGGTGTTGGAACGCTGCGCTTACGTCTGCAAGGAGAGCATCAAATTGAAAGTGACCGTCGACAATCAGGGCGAGGAGGACGTATGGTTACGGATTAGGTAAATCAAACGGCCATCAACGACTTTTTGATTAAAAAACTCCTATTAACGGTCACGAAAAAAACACAACACTTATTTGATTGATTCAAATTTTGCAGCTTTTCCTAACATCTACAGGGTTATGCACGCTACACGGCGCGGACGTTTGCGGCTGGCCCGTTTGTTTTTGCAAAATATTATTTGATGAATCCACTAACGCCTATCGGGTGCACATTTTAAAAATATTTTTGTAATGTACAGACTGTCCCAAAAGCCCTAAAAGTATCAAAGTTTTGTTTTTCTAACTGAAATACCCTATATATTATTGCATTTTTGGATTCTCTGAGCAAAATAAGTGTTTGTTTTACTAAGATTTATACTGTCTAAATCTAAAGGTTTTTTAAATAATTCGAATTTTATCAAAGTATAATATTATTCTCATGTGTCAAACACTTTAGAATTATTTAAGTTATGTTAACGTAATTCGTAGTTTGGTGTAACAAGAAATCATATTTTATACGCCAATGATAATAAACTTACCATTTTATACAGGGTGTCCACAAATTTAAACTAATCAAATAAGAACTTTAAGTGGCTCCAACTTGATTAATTTAAATGCAACCCCATATTTTTCAGCTTACCTGGAAATGCAATTTTTAATTACCTATCGAATGGTACCAGGATGTTGATAACTAAGTTTTTGCCTTTCTGATGGATCAGAACAGTGTAA